AGCCTGGAAAAGCGCAGGCTCAGGGGTGATCTGGTGGCCACCCATAAGCTTATCAGGGGTGCTTGTTAGGATCTGGGGGAACAACTGTTCACCAGAGCCCCCCAAGGGATGACAAAAACGAATAGTCACAAACTCCACTGTGACCAGTTCAGGCTGGACATAAGAAAGAACTTCTCCACTGTCCGAGCCCCCAAGGTTTGGGACAGACTGCCACCTGAGGTGGTTTAAGTGCCCACTTTGAACGCCTTCAAAACACATTTGGATACTTATCTTGCTGGGATCCTATGATCCCTGCTGACTTCCGGCCCCTGGGGTGGGGGGCTGGACTCGATGATCCTCCAGGGTCCCTTCCAGCCCAAATGGCTATGAAATCTCTGAAAGTGTTCACAGCCATTTTAAACAATTTGGTTAATTGTTAAAGTTTTAAGAATATTTTAAATAATCAAAGTTCTCATATAGAAGAATCCATATATAATCAGTAGTCCCCCCATCCCCTGGTGGGCTTAATTTAAAGCCTGGTGGAGCAGGTCAGCCAGTCTGGCTGAGAAGAACCTCCTCCCCAACGGAGAGAGGTGGAGGCCGTCCCTTCCCAACAGCTTGCTGCCTCTCTCTCCAAAGACTGGACTGTGGTCATGGAAGCCAAAGCCTTCCCGATGACACCAGCGCTGCAGTCTTTGGTTGACGATGTGGATCCTCCTCTCCGTCCTCAGCCCATAGCCCGAGACTGGGAGGATCGACATGCATATTGTCTTGCCCAGTTTGTCTACAGCCAGCCAGCTACACCTAATTACAAGCTGATTTTATTAAGTCACTGGGCCATGTTTCTAGCAATGGGGTGGTGAGATGTGGTAATGGTAATTACATATTTAGCTTTAGGTACCTTCCATTAGCAGATTTAATTGCCAAATAGAAATTTGTGTATCATCATGCGTAGCTAGGATTGGAATAATTGAGGCTAGAGTCACTGTTCTGAGCTTGATTTTGTAGATGAAAGCAGTTGCTTATTTTAGACCCAGATACATCACCAACCCACCAGCATATAGAACAAGAGTGGGCTAAATGTGGCCCAGGGGCCAGATGCAGCCCACCAGGCCATTCTATCCGGCATGTGGGGCCCCTAAAAAATTTAGAAAATAAATATTTATCTGCCACTTGCAGGCACCACGTGCAACGCAGATCCCAAACCAGCTGGAGCAGCTGCAATGTGCAGTGCAGTCCTGGGGGTTGCCAGGTCAGGCACTGCATGCAGTGCAATCTGGCCAGGGTAGCCACCAGGTGCAGCACAACTGCTACTGTGGGATCTGCACCACACGCAGCATGAGTCTCAGACCAGCTGGAGTGGCTGCTAGATCAAGTATGTTGGGGAAGAGGGAGAGGGGTCTATGGGCCTGATTCGGAACTTTTTTTCCTTGTTCTATACTTAAGTTATAAAATAAGAAAAAAAGATAAAACAATAAATCCAATATAATTTAGTTTGAAATGCCATTTTAAACTTACAAACTGGATGCCACATGAGTATGTTGGAATAGTAATATAGTATCAACTGTGTTAGGTAAACCTGCAATTCCAAATATCTGGATACTAATATAAAGGTTAGTTGAGAGTCATGGAATTAACAAGTGTACTTAGCATGCTGGTTACTAAACTGAACAATTTCCTGATTTTGAAGTAAAAAGTTAGATCAAACACTGATTTTGAGTCAGTTGGAGTGTGGTATCTTCCAAAGAATGGAGCACATATTCTTTCTACTAAGTATTTATTTAGAATCATAGAATCAAATGACTGGAAGAGACCTGTAAGATCATCAAATCCAGTCCCCTGCCATAGGCAGGTGGTTATTGGGCTCAAATGAGCTCAAAGAGGTGCCTGTCCAGCCTCCTCTTGAACACCTCCAAGGAGGGTGACTGGGAGCGTGTTCCAGATTCTAGATACCCTTATGGAAAAGAAGTTTTTTCGGATGTCCAACCTAAATTTCTGCTCAATTAGCTTGCACCTGTTGCTCCTTGCCCTCCTTGGGGGTAGCTTTCTGAAGAGTTGCTCCCCTAGATCTTGGTGTTTACCCTTGTATCAAGTCACCTCTTGGTCTTCTCTTGCTCAGATTGAACAAACCCAGTTCCTGGAGTCTCTCTTCATAGGGTCCATCCCCTCCAAGCCCCTAATATGGATGGCCTTTCTCTGTACCCTTTCGACCTTATCCACATCCTTCCTGGTGTGGTGCCCAGAACTGGACACAGTATCCCAGCTGTGGCCTCACCAACGCCAAATAGAGAGGGAGGAGCACCTCTCCGGATCCGTTTGCAACACATCGACTGATACACACAAGAGTTCTATTAGCCTTGCTGGCGACTTCATCGTACCGTTGGCTCATATTAATCTTCTGGTTGATTGTCACCCCCAGGTCCCTATCAGATACAGTGCCAGCCAGTGAACCACCACCCATTAGATAGTTGTAGTGAAGGTTCTTCCTACCCAGATAAAGGACCTGGCACTTTAGAAAGTTTAATAGTCAAAAGGAAGTAAAAGACTTAAAAGATATCATTAAGTTTATAATGACAAAACACACCACATAAGACCAGAACAAACAATTATGTATGCATACATTTAATTAGAATATTAAACAACATATTTTCCAGTTAAAACACGTCTTTATTAAATCAAAACTGTAACAATCTTAGTGCAAAAATACAAGGGAGACAAAGTATAGAAAAGTTCAGAATTTGATTCCTTCAAGTCATGCTATTCCTTCCTGCTCTTTGTAATGGAATTTGGTAACATACAGTCTTTTCTTCAGCTATTTTGAATGGAATGCTGTAAAGCAGTCAACATGGATGCACTGCCACAGTGCAGATTTCCCTTCCCAATCCCTATGTGCAACACCAAGAAATGTCACATTATTTTTCTAATAGTTAGTACTATTCTACTTAAACATTTGAGTAGAATACTTAATTATGAGTCCATATATCTGACGTAAATGAACTTCAATAAATTATTCTAAAGATAACTCATAATAATGCTTTATGATCTAAATTGGTAATAACTGTCTTTCATGTTTATTAGACATTTCTTAGAGATGCATTTTTACTGCACATCCATAGAAGATGTGTGCCATAATATAAGGTCCTCCGTCACCATTTTAAAGACTTGAGCTCGACTGAATGAATGAGTCCTGATTTTGTTCTCATCTTTTAAAAAAATAATTTTGAAAAGTATTTCCAGATTTGGTTTGGCATTACATATATGGTACAATTCAGTTACATATGATATTAAAAGTATTAATGTGTTCTTCCATTGCTTTTCATTGGAAAAATACAATATTTAAAAATAAAAATGACATTACAAAAACATTATGGAAGACTAGGAGCAATATTTTCGTAAGAATTTGTGTAAAATTTTTTTCTAAAAGACAGTTATTGATATGGCACTGTTTTAATTAAGAAGAAAAGTCTACTCTGAGATTGATAGTGCTTTCACAAAGTGAATGGACATTCTTCATGATACGAGGTTGTATAAAAGCAATGATGTGTAAACAAAAGTTTTGTAAAAAATCCAAATACACAGAAAACCATTAGATGCATAATAAATATTTTATGGCTCGGCATTTTTTTTCCTAAAAGAAAAAGACAGAATCTTTCATTGCTTTACACTGCCCTGGCACCATTGAATGTGCAAACTTTTGGAGTTTTATCTGATATAAGCAAATGGAAATAAGTGGCAAAATGAAATCAGAGGCTGTCATATTAGTCACCCAGAGCCAGCTTCATTCTTTTACACAAATATATTTATAGAGCTATTATATTAGCCTTGCAAAATTGCTGTAAGACTTCAGCGTTGGTACAAAAGCAGACATTGGAACAAATAAAAGCACCCATCATAAACAGGTCATCCACAGGTAACTGAAAGAGTAGAATTGTGTAAGGCTGACTATACTCTACACATATATACAATTCACAACTTATTACTGATCTGAAGAAACCAGAGGTAGAATTCATGCCAGACTTCATAATTTTCAAAAGTCCTTGTAACAAGTTAATCCATCTATTACTGTTTTAGGCTTAAGATTCCTTGAAGCTCACGTTTCTGGAGGAGAAGAAATTTCAAAATAAAAACAGTATTTTTAGAAAATCAATCTGGGACAAAATATATTAAATTTATTTCTGTTCATCATCATATGCATTTATAGAGAGATAATTAGCCATGTTAATCTGTAGTCAAGCAGAAGGTAGGACAGGGAGTTACTTTAGAGAGTAACTCATTTAACAAGGCATGAATTTTCACATGCAACAGCCTACTTCATCAGATACTTCGTTGTTAGCAACTGACAAAAGTAGGCTGTCACCCATGAAAGCTTATGACTTTCTGAACTAGTTACTCTCTATGGTGCCATCCTGCCTTGCCATCTGCCTGTATTTCTAAGTACTTTGAATCAATCTTCAGCATATTATCCATACAATACGTACAGACTATTATTTTCAAGCAAGAACTTCTCTCTATCCCTATGTTTTATAGCGCCGTATGTATGGTGTAGCAGGTACATGTAGTGCTACAGGTGGGCTCTTGGGGAGTTTATAAACATGCTCTGGGAGGCAGTGGGGGGGAGGGGAAGGGAAGCACTTTAATTAATGCAGTTCCAAGAGCCACTGTAATTAAAAGTGCCTGAAGCATCACATGTATCAGCATCCCCACACTAAAAAATGGTGGCAAAGGTGCTTTAATTGAAGCTTGTTCAATAAGCTTTAAAGTGCCCCACCATCATTTTTCAGCGCAGGGATGTTGATACATATGACGCTGGAGTCTGGTGAAGCATGGTAATTAGTTACCATGCTCCAGCAGACTTGATTAATCAAGTCTGCTCCAACACACTGTAAGTCTACAGGGGGTGAGGGGGGCATAGGCAACACGTAGGGGGGCATAGGCCCAAGGGCATGCACAGGCAGAAGCTACCTTTGCAGTCCAGCAAGTGGGACCTGGTGCAGAAGGGTCGAGCACAGTGGTGAGACTCACTGCTGCTGCCACCGCCACTGGGACCCCTGCGCTAGCTGCACAACCAGCAGCTTGTGGAGTAAGAGACTAAGGGGAGGGGGGTGGACAGTGCTGCCCTCACCTCCTGCTGCCACCAGCCATTCATGTGCCAGGTTATGGCTCTACCTTGGAGGGGAGGTGGGATAGGAGGCAGCATCATTGGTCTGAAGGGAGCAGCATTGGCAGCTGGGACATGGCAGTGACGTAGAGTGTCTGGTGTGTAAGCAGCAGGAGGAGATGAGGGTAGTGCAGCCCCCTATCCTAGCCAGATACTCCTTGTGCTGCTGGCAGTGCAGCTGGCACAGGGGGTCCTGGCAGAGGCAACAAGTATCAACACTGTGCTCCATGCTCCCACTCTGGGTCCCGCCTGTTGGGCTGAGGAGGCAGCTCCTGCCTGTGACAGTCCAGCCAGACTGAAACCCCAAGCCCACTTGTGGGTGTAGAAGTCTTGGGGGCACATGCCCTCCATGCCCCCCCAACACCTATGGTGTCGCCTACGGTTGAGCACCCCCCCCCATGCCATGCAACCCCCCCCACCTCCTTCCCCACACACTGCGGGGGCTGGGGTCTGCAAGTTGGGAGTGAGGGACACTGGCAGGGCTGGGGGGCTGTGGGTCAGGAGTGAAGGGCACTGGCAGGGCTGGGGTGGGGGCAGGGCTGTGGCTTGGGAGTGATGGGCACCAGCATATTAGGGCTGCTCAGCTGCAGCTGGAGCCGTGTACTAGTGAGAAAAGAGGGCAGGAGGAGCTGTGATTTTCTATGATAAAGAAAACCAAAATCAAATGCCAAAATATATAAATGTTTAGAATTTATTTTACTATTATGGCTGAGACACTGGTAGGCTTCCAAACTGCTTTAAAATGGTAAATATATTAATAAAACATTGTGTTCAACTGATACCTATATATAGTAGCATTTCATTTTAATTGCAGAAAAACAGGGATGGGGGGGGAGGGTTTAATCAGAATCTTGGATTTTTACCAGAGAAGTTGCAATTTTTAAACAGGGAAAACCAGGATCCCTGGTGATCAGGCTCACTGGTCAGGCACCCCTGGTGGCAGGAGGAAAGCAGTGGATCAGCCTGCATCTTGCCTCCTGTCTAGAGAGCAGATCTTTGTAGTGCCACAAATGAACATAGGTCCAAGGCCTAAGTGGTGCAGCATGCATTTGTCGCTACAGAGTGCCATAATACATTACAGTGTAAGGACAGTACATCACAAGCATATCTGAAACTCAGCAATGGGCCAGTTAATCTTCTTGCTTCTGTTTGGGAGGCTCTTTTTGCATAAAATGAAAAGAGAATTGCAAGTGGGGGGAAAAAGATGTACATGAGAATTCTTGACTATGAACCTCTAATTTCAGAAACACTTGATTTGTCAACACTAATGGAAGAGACACTATTAATAATGCAATGAACCCAAACAGGGTTTAAGGTATTAATTAAAAGAAATCTAATTAATTTTGGGTCTGGAATAGTCTCTGGAGAATGAAAACTGTAAAAGCCAAAACAATTCACACAGTATTGGGCAAATTAGCAAAAACTTTGCTGAATGTTTCTTTCTTAAGAAAGAGCTTAGTTCTGATGGAAAAGTATATGAAGAATAATCCCACTTATTTTTTGCCAGAAAAGGAGAGCTTTTATGTACTATTACATTTTTTAATGGTTTCCATATACTCTTCACTTGCTAACATTGGTCTGTTTCACACTAGAAAAGGAAAAAGCACAACATGACTCCTAGGAACAACCAGAGCTTATTTCACTGTCCTTTGACTTTAACTCTTCATTGAGCTGCAACAGGTAGGAATGGGAGGACTGAGGCATACAAACTGTCAGAGATCTAAGTCTTTGATTTCGGATGCCAATGGCAAAAAGTCAGAGGCTAACACAACAAACTCTGTAATTGTAGCCTCACACTATTTTTCAGTTTGTAACAGTGCTGCATATTCACACCCCTGTCTGTGCCTCATTTCAAATCACTTGAGCTTCTCATACGAGAGAGAAAGTAACTTTGGGTTGTGTACAGCCCAGCACGAAAGATAACGTCCCTATGGTAACGAGATACCCAAATTAGCTAACCTTAACGGAGTTGTAAAATTAAATAATATACTATGCTTGCCCTCTTGTGACCAAATAGGACCAGTACCACCCAAGTAAAAAACTAGCCCCCCTTTTATGAAACTTGAGAAAACAAAGAAAACACAAGTGCCAACCTGTTAATTATTCATGCCTGGAGTGTTACAATTGGCTATTCTGGCCAAGTATAACTTTGAAAGAACTTCCGCCCAAAGCGGAGATCTCGAAGCATTCCCAAGAGACACAGTCTGTAATCTAATCAGTTACAGACATCTCATATATCTCTCCACCTACGACCTTGATTTAGGCATACCCCTGTTTTGCCGGCTCGTGTCGTCTTATCTTTCTTTTCGTCTTATCTTATCTTTCGTACGTCCCTCTCGTCAAGAGCTCTCGGTAATCTGCAGACCGTAGTAATTTGTATAAACTGTTTGAAACCTGCACTCAGCAAGTCTGCAATCCACTGTAATCGCTGGGTGACAGAACATCTGCATGCTGTAACTAAGAAATCAACTGCTTCTGCCTACGCTGCAATCAATCATCAGTAGCGTAAGTAAAATAAACTTTCTGTGTAACCAATACGTTTTAAGTCACCTGACACCTGACTCCTCGCCATTAACACCTGCCTGTCCAATCACCATTCTTACTCGCGCCAAGCCGGTTGTGCCGACCAAGGCTCGCGGGTCCAGGGTGCACCGGCATCTGGGCGCGACACAAACTAGAAACCTAGGTGATGAATTGGTGCGCTCTTTCCCCACCATACAAATTTTTGTCTCTGTATTTATTAGAGGTGCACCAATACACCAGTCAATATCGTATCAGCATCAATAAAAGGAAAATTGACATTATTGGCTTTTTTTTGGCTGATAATGTCACCAATAAATGCCACATGCATGCACGTAGCCACAGCATGCATGCAGTCAGCCCAGCAGTGTGGAGAGCAGCATCCAGCTGGTAAGTCTGTTGTGGGGGATAGGGAGAGAGGGGAGGGAAAGGCATGGGGCGGGCAGATTGAGGCAGCCACAGTGAGGGAGGGAGTGGGGCTGGGGCAGGGCAGGGCCAGGCAGGGCACAGGACAGAGCCACAGCTGGTCTATTAT